GATCTCTCATCTAAAAATTGACAATGGGACCGACCTCAGAGGGCTCTCTTGAAGATAAGTGAGGTCACCCCGAAGTGTCTAGAAAAGACAGCTTCTCTGCCAAGCCCCCAGGGGCCCCGGGTCCCAGCCGTCACGGTGCCCACGTTTGTCACGACTGAGCCCTCTCTTGGCAACTTCTATCCCCCCAAAGCTGGGCTGCTTTAACCCCTGAAATCATCACCAAGACCCCATGTGGGAAGGGACAGTGAACAGAGAGGAGAGCGGGTGGGGGTGGGGGGCGTGGCCCAGGCTCTGGAGGAGAGCCGCCCCTCCCCCGGGGAACAGGACCTGACTTTCAGAGGTCCCCCCCTCTAAGCTGGGAGACGGACCCTGCCCCCCTGAAGGGCCCCAGAGGAGGGGGATGCTGATGCCTCTTGCCCATCCCGGTTCCTCTGCTCCCAGCTTTTCTCCCCTCTGCCTGGCGGAACCTTCTCAGCCCCCGATCCAGGGTCCCCGGGCTGCCCTTCTCCTTCTGGGGAGGAAGACATGAGCCCAGGCCTCTAGAGGACCAGGTGGCCTGGGGAGGGGACGTTCCTCCCATGTCGCCACCCTACCCACGGGACCAAAACGGGCTGGGGCGGGGGAAGATGGCCCTTGAGCCCAGCAAGGCCAGCAGGAACGCCGTCAGCACATCAGAGGCGCCGCCCCCCAACAAAATCCACAGCCGCGACCCAGGGAGGAGGCTGAGCCCACTCTGTGCAGGACCTCGGCCTCCACAGCCTCCCAGGTGGACAGGCCAGCCCCCAGGACCCGCTGCAGTCGACCACCTCCGCCTCCTGCAGGAGAGCCTGCCGGGGGAAGACGGGCTGGGGGCGCCATTCCACGGGAGGAGCCCTGCCTCCCTGAGTCAGCTGATGTCCACGGGGCTTCCGCCAGGAAGGGCTGCTGCTTGTGGGGCTGGGGGCGGGGGCTTCCCTTGGCTGGGGCCCTCACCCTCGGGGCTGGAGTCACTGGCTCGGTGCTGAAAAGACAGCTCCGGCCGACGGGTGGGGAGGGCGTAACCCGGAGGGTCAAGCCCCTACTCAGGGCGGTGCTGCGCGGTGACTGAGGGGTCAGGGGCTCCAGCCTGGGTGGGGAGGGGAGCTGGGGCAAATCACACCTGCCCCACGCCCCCCTTTCCAAGGCCAAGTGTCCAACTGGAAAGTGAGGGTCAGAGAAGCTGTAATTGGCTCAAGTCCATCACGCACTGGGGGCTTCCCTGGAATCCCATGGACAGAGGAGCTGGCGGGCTACAGTCCAGGGGGTCGCAAAGGGTCAGACAAGACTGAGTGACTAACACACACACACGTGCGCGCACACACGCCATTCGGCGCGGGCCAGGGCTAGGGTTCCGCAGTGAGGCAGACAGGAAGGGCCCGGCCGTGCCTGGTTCTCCCCGTCTCCGCAGCTGGCCTCGGGCCCGGGCTGTTGTTCTGCAGGAGCTCACACCCTGGGCCCGGGCGCTCCCGGGCGGGCCCTGGAAGCGGCCCCTGCCGCCGGCCACTGGGGTTGAGACAGGCCTGCGTCTGGTGCCTCGGCTTCCCAGACTGTTCCTCGGGAGGTGGAGAGGCTTTCGGACAGGGGGCGGGGAGCTGGAAGGCACCTACCCGCCCAGCCCCAGTAACCGGTAACCCTGTCCCAGCGCGACTGGACAGGCAACAGTGGATTTCAGAGCGGAGGCCCTGAACTGGTCAGCCCCAGGGCAGCTTGCAGGTTGATGCCTCGTTCTGCATATGTAGTGGTCAGTGTTTGTTAGTAAAAACAGACGTTATTGGACAGCAACTTAACTTGGGGTTTTTAAAAGTCAGAGCAGCTGCCCATTCTGGACCCACGTCCTCCTGTGCCTAGTTTGAAGGGGTGAGCGCAGTGGGGACCGTCTGGGCTCTGGCTGTCCAGGCAGGGAGAGAGAGATGGCCAACCTGGGAGCAGCTCAATCCATGAACCAAACTTTGCTTCTCAGGAGCAAGTGCAACCGTGATGGAGAGTAAACGCGGCCGGGGAGCCTAGCAGTCCCTGCGGGGAGACCGCGTGCAGAAGAGGGGCCTGAATAGCCAGAGGGGGCAGGCTGGCTGCGCGCTGGGGGAGGGTTTGCAGGGAGGAGCCGGTGCAAAGGCCCTGGGGCAGAGGCGGCTCCGTTCCAGGACTGGACACTGGTGCAAAGGCCCTGGGGCAGAGGCGGCTCCTGTTCCAGGACTGGACACAGGGGGAGGAGCTGCGGGAGAAAAGTGCGAGGCCTTCTGGCGTGGAGGGGAGGGGTTGGCTTTGCTCTCAAGTCCCAGGCGTGGGACCCACCTTAAACAGGATGGAGGTAGAAGTAGAGGCCTCTACCGTTCCGTGGTCCCTGTCGGGAGGGTCACCTCTGACTTGTCCAAAGCTCTAAGTGGTCTTCCCCAAGCCAGTCAGTCACTCACTCATTCAGCAACTTCCAGGGCTAGACGTGCTCTGGAGTGGCTGAGGCTGCGGGAGGAGGAGGCTGGCATTGGACCTGGTCCCCGGCCTCCAGAAGAGACAGCGTGAGGAGGGCAGGAGGTGGAGGGAGCAGAAGGCAGGGAGGGCTTCCCAGGGGAGGTGTCGCTGCGCCGAGGGGACAGTGTGAGTTCTGGCCACGGGGCTGTGGTGCAGTTGTAGACAGGCGGGTACCCCCTGCCCTTTGTGCTGAGAGCGGGCTGGGGTTCATGGAAGGGTCACCACACGGCACACAGCTCCTGCAGCAGCACTCTCTGAGACTGTAGCCCCCTGCACCTCGCTTCATAGCTGGGGCTCCAGACACAGTGGGCCTGGGGCCCCTGAGGTCTGACTTGCCCCACAGAAGTGCTGATTTGAAGCAGCCTTAGCTCAGGACCAACTTCGAGGGATGCTCTGTGTGTGTGTGTGTGTGTGTGTGTGTGTGTGTGTGTGTGTGTGTGTGTGTGTGTGAATTCTGTCAGATGGATGTTTTGGCTCCATCTCTCATCTGCTGAGCAACCCCAGGAAAGTCACTTGACCTCTCTGAGCCTGCCTCCCACCTGTGAAAGGATTGTTCTCTCTATACCCGGCCAAGTCCCTGGGAGATGGTGCAAACCTGGCCCTCAAGTAGAACCCAGCAAAATCTGGAGTCAGTATGTCTGCCTCCAAGCCCGGGACGTCCCCAGACTCAGCAGCCCCCACCCCGAACTGAAGAAAACGAAAGCCGTATGTTCCCGCCCTTCCACCTGCATCCCTCTTGGGGAGGCAGAGTTTCACCAGGAGAGGAGCCTTTCGCCCACAAGGAGACCAGACCCAGAGAGGGCGAGCAGGCATCTCAAGGTGAAGCAGGGAGCCCCGCCCGTGGGCTCGGACCCCCCCCCCCCACCCTGGCCCCTTCCCACCACCCCAGTCCTTCCTGGGGCCTGACCGGCTACACGTCCACTGGCCCGCCAGCCCCCAACCCCTCCTGGCCGACACAAAAGGCCAGGCCTCCCGCAGGAGGGGGCGGGAAGGGGCTCCTGGGCCAGCTGGGCTGTGGACACAGGCGGGGAAGTGAGCGGGGACAGGAAGGAAGCCGCTCTGCTGGAGGCTGGGGCCGCCATTGTCCCACCTGGGGGCGGGGGCTCTGTCCGGGTGCCCGTGGCTCCTCCGCTCTGGAGGGCCCCAGCCGGGGTGGTCACTGGGCCCTGCCCTCTCTGAGCCCCTCCCTGCTGACCTCCTTCCCTCCCAGCCTCAGTTTCCCCGTCGTAACTGAGCAGGATCCTGCCAGGGATTCCTGCAGGATGAGTGCCAGCCCCTCTCTCGGGCTTCCCCTGGGTCGGTTCATGAGTCCCAGCGCTCCCCATGAGCTGAGGGCTCGCCCGGCCCCCAGAGGGTCAGAAGCTCGCCCAAGGCCTCCCCTCGCCCCTCAGAGCCGCAGAGCTGCCTCTCGGATCCGGGCCTCTGGGGCCACAGCCGCCCTCCTGCGTCTGCGGTTGCTGACCTGACTTTTCTCTGTCACTTACCCGTACAGGGTGGACACCTGTTAAGAGTCATTCTAAATTGTGCTGTCGCTGGTTTAATTGAGATGGATAGAGGGGTGGATGGGTGAGCTCTGAAACCAGGGCCAGGGGACCCCCAGCCGTGTGCACTCTCCCCAGACGCGGCCCCCAGGGCTCCCCCATCCCCCCCATACCCAGAAGGGCCCTTCTGTCCAGGTGGGACCCCTTCCCTCCACCCTTCGAGAAGCGGGGTGAGGAGACAGTTTGGGGACTTCCCAAGGGCGCAGAGCTGGAGGGTGTGAGTCCGGTGTCCTGGGTGAGGACCACCTGGGACCTTCCGGCCAGGAGCCCCCCGCTCAACCCCAATCTCATCACCACTTCCACCCCCACCCCCTAGAGGACTCCCCCCTGAAGGCAGGAGGAGCAGGGGGTGACAGGGGATGAGATGGTTGAATGGCATCATCGATTCAATGGAAAAGAGTTTGAACAAACTCCGAGAGACCGTGAAGGACAGGGAGGCCTGGCATGCTACAGTCCATAGGGTCGCAAAGAGTCGGACACGACTGAGCGGCCGAACAGTAACAACAACCCCAAGCCTGTGTCCGTCGCAGCCCCCCAGACCCCCGTGTCCTGGGGATGAGTTAAGGGTCAGACCATCCCCAAGACACAGGTCTCAGTGACTTCTGGCCCCCACCCCGCACGGCCCACCCCCGTCTCACAGCAGCCAAGCTCTTGTAGCCTGCTCAAACTTTATTGGTGGTGGAGCTGAAATGTGGATCCCAGAACCACAGAACCCTCTCCGCCCAGCTTCTCCAGAGTGGGCTTCACCGGACGTGGGGGGGTCAACAGCCAAGGCTCAATCCTGGGACTTCCGACAGCTCAGTAGCCCCCGGCCCTGCAAGCATCGGCCCCCGCCTGAGCTCCAGCCCCGCCCCCACCCCACCCCCACCCCCCGCACGGCCCCCGGGCTCGCAGAGGATCGGGCGGGAGGACCGAGCCCACAGACCCCTCCCGGGCGGGTGGGATCCCGGATAAAGATGCCCCGCAGGCGGAACGTTACCCCCAGCTCAGGCCTTTCCTGGCCAGCTCCACCTGGGCCAGGCGGTGGTCACTGAGCACCTGCACCCTCGTGATGGCGGCCAGCGGCCGGTGGCGGTGGGCGAACTGCAGCACTTTGTGCTCCTGGGCGTGGACGTGGAAGTGCTCCGCGTCCGAGCTGACCTCCATCTGGGGGCGGGAGGCCAGGCACCTGTGGCCCTTGGGCCTGCGTCCTGCCCCTGCGTGAGCTCCGACAGCTCTAAGCCCAGGTCCCCTCAGCACGTGGCCCCCCACCCCTGTCATGCAGGCCCGCCCCTCAGGGGTTCAGAGCCCCCAGCTGGGGGCCCCTTCCCCTCGCCTCAGAGGAGGAAGCCGGCAGCCAGGGCTTGCAGCCCCCAGACCCATCAGGGAGACTCCCGAACTGGTTCTCCCCTGTAAGCATCTGCAATAAGCCCCCCACTCAGCTGGAGCCCCAGCAGGGACAGCAGGGCTGCTGGAAGCCGGGGGCACGGGGCTCCTCAGTGCGACCCCGCAAAGCAGTGGGTGGCCCTGGTGAGTCCACAGACCCTGCCCCCACCTCCCTGCCCCACCCCACGGGCCTCCCCCTCCCGCCCCACGGATTCCCCCACCTCCCAGGGGTTCGCCCCAGCCCCTCACCTCAAAGGGCTCCCCGAGCACCAGCGGGAAGACGCTGGACACCTCCTCCTGGCCCCAGCGGCCGCCCTGGAAAGTGTTGGCCACCATGGTGGCGCTGGAGAACCGGGGCTTGATGTGGAAGACGATGTCGCCCGTCTCAGACAGGAAGTTGATCTCAAACCTGGGGGGCACCATGGCGTTGGTGAGGGCGGCTGGCAGTCACCCGCAGAGGCCGAGGAGGGGACCCGGGAGGGGGAGAGCGCATCCCTTACTGGTCCTCTCCAGAGTCAGAATGTCCCTGCACCAGCAGGTTCCAGCCCGGGGCCAGGCCGCCCGCGTGGAAGGCTTCAAACTGCAGACAAAAGGGGCGGCAGAGGGTCTGGGTCCCGGGCCTCCTCTCCCTGGGGTACCCCTTCCCCCAGGAAGCCCCACAGCCTGTGGCCCGTGCCCAGACCCCAGTCCCTTGATCAACATGCCCACTTGGCCGGGGGGTCTCCAGGGAGGGGGAGCACAGCTGGCGGGGCCCCACTGGGCCCTGCTCTCTGCTCCCCAAATCCAGGTCTCACCCACCTGCAGGGCCATCTCTCCGGCTTCTGAGGGGAGCAGCGCAGCCTGGGGATATAGCGGCTGGGCTGGGCGGGGGCGCGGGGCCCCACCCCAGGGATGAGGTCACCAGCCTTCCCTGCCCCGTCAGCCTCTCGCCACCCCCACCAGCAGGTCCTCTAGTCCAGCTCCGGGACAGGGTGGCCCCCTCCCTACCCGCTTTCCTCGGGGGCCTGCCTGGCTCTCAGGCTTCACTCCACTTCCGAGGACCCCCAGACCCCCAGGAAATCATTTCTCCTCCATTCTTGGAGGCAAGGCGTGGCCCAGGCAGCCCCCAGTCAGCCTCAGCCTCCAGGGTCTCCGGGACCCAGACTCCCCCACCTGGTCAAGAGATGAGGCCTACACACCATGCCCTGGACTTTGGGGCTGTCTGGCCGCCTGGTGATTCAAGCCCCCCAGTCCAGCCCGGCCTCCCCTGGCTGCCCTGCTCCAGGGGCTCAGCCGCCCCGCGGGCGGAGCACGGATTAGGCCGGCCGCTGCGCTCAGCGCATTCCAGGGCGCTGGCGGTGGATGGGGTGGGGGGGCCTTTCCCACACCCCCACACCCCTCCTGGCCTGCTCCTGAGCCCCTCAGCTGACCGCGGAGCAGGCCAGGCTGGGGTCCTTGGGGAGCATGGTGGGGGAGACAGGCAGCATCTCCCCAGGCTTTCCCGGCGGCCAAGGGGGAGTCTTGGCTGGACTGTTCAGGGAGACAAGCCAGAGAGGAGCCAGGCTGGACGCACAGAGCCCAGGGCTGCTGTGGGGGGTGGGGGCAGGCAGTGCGTGGGCAGCGAGCGTGCGAGCAAGTGTGCAGATGTGTGGTGAGTGTGGGACCAGGTGTCGGGGGGAGCTCAGCACGTGGCGCTGTACACGCTGGGTGTGGGGGTGTCGTGTGCGAGGCTGAGGGTGTGGCTCCTGGAGCTGCTGCTCCTCCCTGCCCAGCTTCACAGGGGCCGGGGTTTATCTGGCCCCCCAGGGCCCCAGGGGGGCAGGGCTGCCAGCCCCCCCAAACCCCACTCCCCTGGGTCATTCTTCCCTCCGCCCCCTGCTGGGTCCCTCCTGGCCTCCCTCTGTGCTGGTGAGAATTGTGTGCCTGTCATTTTGATGGGGAGGTAGTGGTAATGGGCAGGGAGGAGGAGGTGGCCGTGACACCCGCGGGCATGCGCCAGCTTCACCCTCCCCTGCAGGCGGGGGGCTGGGCAGGGCCGGTGGGGCCTGCAGGGGGCAGCCCTGGGCAGCGGAGGTGAGGCTGCCCCGCCGTGGCCTCCCGGCTCAGACACCGGCCTGCTGACTCCCACATCCAGGGCCCCACCTGGCCGGGCCACCCTGGGGCCCGAGCACGGCAGGACCTTGGCCCCTGCCTCCCCGAGGGTCTCAGAGAAGGTGAAGCCCCTTCCTGCCTCTGCACCTCCCGGTCCTGCCTCCGGTCCCGCCTCGAGGTGGGTGCTCATGGCATGGACTCTGGGGACAGCACGGGCCGGGGTGGGCAGAGCACGCACTCAGGGGTCTCAAGCGGGCTTCCAGCACTCCAGGGGCCCAGAGCCGGTAGCCTCTGGGCACAGTCCTCCCGGCTGCACACCGCCATCTGTGCCCCCCTCCTCCCCCCCAGGCAGGGAGGGTAGCCTTGGGTTGTTGTCTCCTGGCTTTGAGGTCAGCAGAGGGCCTGGCTGAGGGCCCCCGGGGCTCAGTGGCCGAGAGCCCTGGCCTGGGTAAGGAGCCGGAGGACCCCTGATGCTCGCAGGCCTGTCCCACTCTGAGCCTCAGCCTCCCCATATATGGGGGGCTCTGGGGACTGCGCTGCAGGTAGCCACTGAACCTGGAGCGGGCAGGGTGGGGAGCCTGCCTGTTCTCTCCAGCCTGGGGACCTCATGAAGCCCAACTAGGCCCAGGCAGGCTCTGGGCCTCTGCCCACCCCGTGACTCCTGTGCCTGGCATGGGCCCACACACGGCCAGGCCTGTGGTCTGACCCTCACCTGCCGCTGTGGCTTTGGCACCTCTCCACGTGGGGTGGGAGCCAGGAGTGGCCGGGCAGTCAGGGGCCCTGAAGGCCCCTCAGGGCTGGCGCAGCCCTGCAGGCGCACCCACCATCGTGGAGTCCAGCTCGGACCCCAGCTGTCCTCAGGGGTCCCCGAGGTGTGGGGGCGGGGGCCGGGGGCGGTGCCCCCACCTGGAGTCTCTGGCCAGCCAGGGCTGGTGCCTGGAGCAAACAGACCTGCCCAGCCAGAGCTGCCAGACGCAGCCGCTCCCCCTCCCGGATGTGCGGTTTTGCCCCAGGCTGTTGGTTTCCAGAGCAAGCAGCAGGGTCTCCACCCAGCTCCCTGGAGGATATCCACCCAGACAGCAGCCTGGGCTCAGAGGCCCATCTCAGCCTTGGGGCCGCCATCGCCAGGTGGCGCCAGGCACGGGCCTGGTGCAGAGGTACCCGGAGATTCTGCCCCGTGGTGTAGTGGTAACCACCGGCCACCTTGGGCCCTGATGACTCAGCGGGTAAAGAACCCGCCTGCCGCGCAGGAGCTGTAGGAGATGCAGGTTCGATCCCTGGGTCCGGAAGATCCCCTGGAGGAGGGCCCGGCAAACCACTCCAGTCTCCTTGCCTGGAGAATCCCATGGACAGGGGAGCTTTGGCGGGCTACAGCCCATGGGGTCACAGAGAGTCGGACACGACTGAGTGAGCACACACGCGCTGGAGCTCAGTCTGTTTACAAGCGGCCCCACCTGCACTGGATATTCGGGCTCCGGCCATGCCACGGGGGGCAGCTGGCGGCCAGGCTCAGGGAAGGGAGACACGAGAGCCATCCAGGGTGCCCCGCTCGTCTTGGCACGGTCGCGGCCACGCCTCAGCTGAGCCCCCGCTGTGAGCTCAGCGCTCGTCACTCATCCCTCGGCCGGGTGGGGTACGCCCCCCATCACAACCAGACGCCCACACAGTTACTCAGCAAACGTCAGCTGAGCCCTACTCTGTGCTGGGCCCTGAGCCGTGGTTCACAAGACAGACAGAGAGCCACGGGGCCTTTGCCCTCAGGGAACTTCCAGTGTCTGAGGCAGGGGGCAGACGTTAAAGGACAAGTCCAGCTTCACGTGACTGAATTATTATGAGGGAGAATATGGGGAGGGATCGTGGTGTCTGGGGGAACCTGGCCTGACATGGGTTGGTCTGGGCAGACTTCCTGGAGGAGGTGACGTTGGAACTGAGCTGAGAACAGGAGGCACTCAGGGTTAGGGGAAGGGTGTTGCTGGAAAAGGGAACAGTGTGTGCAAAGGCCCTGGGGAGGGGAGGCCAAGATGGGAGGAGCCCTCTCCGCCCCACCTCTGCTGCCTGGCTGAGAGCCATCCCTCCCTGGCCTTCCTGCTAGGCACCACCGTCGCCTCCCTCATTTGGGCTGGCACTGTTCCTGGCCTAGCTGCCCACCCAGTGCCAGGCCATTGTCTGTGTCCCCTGCTTTCCGCCGAGTCTCTTATCGCCCAGGGAATCAGCTCATGCAGGGGCGCGTGGAGGGTGATAAGGTTTCACCCCAGTCAGTGCCAAACAGGGCTACCAGGTCTGATGTCGCCTCCTCCCTGGCAGGGGCGGGCTGGTGGCCCAAAGGACACTTGGCGTCAGCCTGGCCTCTCTCTTGTGGGGACCCTGCAGGTCTCCCTTCTTGGGGCCACCCCTCCTTCCCTACCCACAGCTTTCACTCCACACGTGCGAACGTGCCAAGTTGCTTCGGTTGTGTCCGACTCTTTGAGACCCCATGGACTCTAGCCCACTAGGCTCCTCTGTCCATGGGATTCTCCAGGGAAGAATACCCAAGTGGGCTGCCTTTCCCTCCTCCAGGGGATCTTCCTGATCCGGGAATCAAACCCACATCTCCTACGGCTCCTTCACTGCAGGCTGATCCTTTACAGCTGAGCCGCCAGGAAAGCCCTACCTTTCCCTCCAGTCCTTCCCTGCAAGTGGAAGCCAGCCTGCCTGCCCTTGACCGCAGACAGTCCTTGCCCCTCCCTGGGAGTCGGTTTCCCCACCTGAGGCTGCCAAGCTGGACCATGAGCTGTGCCCGTGAGCTCAGCCGGACACGGACGCAAAGCTGGCCTTGACCCAAGCAAGGGACACGGAGGGAGGGGTCTGGGCAATTGAGCAACGGGGACCCGACGCTGGTCGGGGTAAGGCTGGGGTTTCCCCCTTCCTGTCAGCAAATGTGGGCTCCTGCCCAGACAGGCTTCCCGGAGGGGGTGCAGGCCCACCCCAGTCAGGCCTCAGCCCCCAGGAGGGGGCGCCTGGCCCCCACTCTGTTTCACCACGTGCTTATAGATGCGGCAGCCAGGCTCAGGGGGAGACCTCACTGGCCCAGGTTGCTGGTGGAGCTGCTGTTCTCAGTCACAGCCCTGCGGAAGTGGGGCAGGATTTGGGAGGCAGGACAGAGCCTCCCCCCGCCCAGCTTCCCTCTGTCATTTCCCGGCTCCCACAGCTGCGCTCCTCAGCTCTGCGTGTGTTACAAGGGCCCCCTCCTCTGCAGTCCTCCAAGTGAGTTCACGTCTGTTCACAGCCCTGCTAGGCACGGGCCTCCCTCCCCATTTCACAGACGGAGAGCCTGAGGCTGCTGTGGGCCGCGTGCATGGGTCCCTGGTGAGGCACGCTAGGAATGACCCTGCCCTGTCAAAGGATGTGCTCAGGAGACCCCCGAAGCCCTTGGCGGTGCTGCTCTGGGGTTCTGGGGCTGAGGGGGAGGGTTCCCTAATGACTCTGGATTGGGCGGGGTAGGATGTGGCTGGGACTCCGGGGCCTCTTGGG